ACTCACAACATAAATCTATTATCACTGACTGAATGGTTTTTGTTGATTGCAGGTCATTACAGTAACAGGGTACACAGGTGCAGAGCGTACACTTCTTAAGAACATGATTTTCATCATCGGCGCAAAATACACTGGATATTTAACTCGTTCTAACACTCATATAATTTGTAAAAGGTAATGCAGTGTTTTTGTTTCCACAGAAAGGCTTTGATAATGACATGTTTTCCTCTATGAAAACAGAAGAATGGAAGCCAATTCTAGTCAATGGTCCCTGTAAACGATTGTTGAGTGATGTGACTTTGATTGGTTGCTGAAGCTTTTAAGATCAGTTTACTGTACACAAGCACACATGATGTCACATACACTGAATTATGATCATTCATTAATTTATCCAAGCAAAATGAAAGCTTGAGAAAATATTCCTTATTGACCATTGTTTTATACATATATTTAAAGAATTCTGGAAGAAATTCTCTACAGCTTTTATCTCAGCTTTACATTATCAGAAAAGACTATTGTTTTGTACACCAGGAGGCTAATTAGATATCCTTATCACTAACAGTCCGACAGGTGACAAGTATACCAAGGCAAGGGAATGGGGAATATTCTGTGTAAATGCCAAGTGGCTTGGTGACATTGTTACCAGTAAGTATATTTAATATTTACTGATTTTGCATGTGGCTAAATATCATTTAGGAAAAGTTAGAGTCCAACCGATTGAGCCAGTGGTCTTTCCCTCGATGGTAAGTGACTTGTGGGATGCCCCTCAGGGGATTTGCAGGACTCAAGATTGCATTTCACAGCACTACATGTGCAGTTCAATTAGCTGATTGTTACAGATCATTTACACATCTCATGCTGGTGAATCTTTGCAGACTTCTCGCTCCCTTATGATTTTTTTGTGTTCTCATAACAAGTCAGCTTGATTACAGTATGTGCTGAAATTCTGTGGAGAAATTTGATGTTCATCACTCTTGGAAATTGAATGTTTATTTCAAGGAGTAATTTCTATGTTGTGTGATTTATTGCCTAGCTGGTTATCCATCGCCATGTAATCTTGTGAGGTACTCAACACTAGGTGAGCCAAATGAGCTGGATATATCTCAAGATCTTCTGGTCAGAGAGCTAATACGTAAGTGAATAAGCATATTGTTATGCATGGTTCANNNNCACTGCATATACATTTTGTAATCAGTTGTGCTAGGCTTATCATAATACAGTTGTGAATAAATACTGTGTATTTAAGGACCAAGCTCAAGTTCATTTATTTTCCTGGTAATCAACAACTAACATCTCCCTCATTGAAATTACGAATAAGAACCTACTTAGCCTAAATTACCAATAAGTACCCCGAAACACAAGAACCTATATTGCCAGGTTTAAAGAAGTGTAGGTTCTTACACGCGGGTTTTAATTATTGTGCTAATATTACTCATTAATTACAATTCGCTAATACTACATGCAAAGCTAAGAGCATCCTAACATGAAAAAGTCCTCAGTTGTTGTAGTTATCCTCGATCTTTATGAACACAACATGGTGGTACAAATTCTTTGTTTTGAGTGCAGATTAACTTACATCAATGTATCTAGATTTTTGTTGGACTCGAAATTGAACAGTTCTGTTTTTCTTTTGTACAGGATATCGTGGTGTATGTGACCCAAAGTGTTGAACCAAGTCCCGCGTCCATGAAGGAAATAATCCAGTGTGCGGGGGGTCAGGTAAGTTAATAACTCACGTGCCAAATGCATGCAG